CCGGGGGACGGCGGTATGCGGCCGCGCCGGGCCGTCAGCCGGCCGGGGGCAAGTCAAGGAGGCCGACCCTATCCCGGAAGTAGCATCACCACTGCTTTCAGCGCCAGCGCCGCCCAAAGGGCGCCAGTGCCGTTACACGTTGTCAAGGCAACCAGAAAAGGCTGCTTTCACTAACCGTCTGGAATTCAGTACCTTCGCGCTGGGCAGGGAAAATTTCGCGCATGAGTACTGTGGACTTTGGAAACCTCGCCCAAGACTGGCCGGTACGCAGGCGCAAAAGACGGTCTAGCCACCTTTTTTGCAAAGTGCGCAAGCGCAAAAAGCTGCGTTTGCAACCTCCGCAGCTGCCGCGCGCACCCTTCACTGGCTCGCTGCTTTTGTCTTGAACTTCACAGACCTCCCGGAGATAGCACCTTTTCTGCTTTCTTCACCCAGAGAGACAGATGCCGAAAGCCCGGACCCCGCCCCCTTTTTTGTATCCATTGCCCTGACTCATCTCACCTGTGTCCTCTCTCCCTATTCGGTTTTCGAAGCCGGAAGGAGCCGAACCGTAGACGGAAAAAGCCGAAATTATCCCCCGAGAGCTAGGCTTTCGCAAAGCAGTGGCGGAAGGAGCCGAAGCTCCCCGGAAGGGGTGGAGTAAACGAGTGGAACCTCCGGAAAGAGCCGAAGCTTGGGATCGATCTTAATCTCCTTAGGGGCCGGTGGTCGAGCGCCAGAAACCTTCAAAAAGTGCTTAAATGCTGGGCGATTAGAATTGTTGGAAGTGGCCGACTGCTTGGACAGGGACAACGGAGAGGAGACGAGCGAATCTGAGGATAAATCTACAGACTGGGACGATTTGAATTATTGGAACAGGAACCCTCTGGAAGGAGCTGGGCGCAGAGGAACGCGAGGATCCACGGAAATCTCCGAATGTTGAGCCGCTGATCTCCGAAAAGTTACCGAAACCAGTGAAGCCGGAGAAACCCTCGCTTCGGGTATTTTCGGAAGCAGCCGAAGCCGCCTCCAGTTTACTCTGGTCGACCTTCCGGAAACAGCCGACACACTTCGGA